TGGACCTGTATGATTCATATATTTACTTCTGTGTTGAGCATGGCACGCACTCGTCTTTGGGTTACAATAGCAAAAGATAGGAAGGCATAGTCCCATGCTGTCCGAGATAATAATCTGCTTGCTTCAGGTTCTTTCAAGTTTAATTGACTGAGGCATGTGAGACATTACTGGGAAAAATAATTAAAAAAAGCATTAAGTGACTCCATCATAATCAACTGAATCGTCTGAAAATGCACAGCTGCAAGTGGTAATGTTGCATAAAAATGTCCTTGTAAAGTACCAGTGAGGGTACTTTCAGCTGTAACAGTTTGCTGAGGATCATAGTCTTTGTTTCTGCTATAGCTGCTAAAAGCAGAGTGATAAAATAGAACATGGCGTAGGGGCACAGTATTAGAAGAGACGTTACATGCCTGTGATCTCTTAGCCGTGCAAGTTTTTGAATTCCAGAGATAATCTTTCCATGCTGCAAAACTGTCCAAGATTTTTAGAAGGATATTACTGGAACTTTAATTGTGAGGCAGTACATGGACAGGATTTCATTACTGTTTTAGCCCAGATTGCTAGAAGTCTGTAAATCTGAGTGTTACTTACTTACGATTAATTAAATATCGGGTTAGTATTTGGTTCAGAGACAAAATTAACAGCTTCTGGGCCAAGAGAGGATGAGGTTATGCATTCTTGCCACTGAAATGAAGAGAGCTGAGGAAGATAGGTAACATGTGTGTACATTTCTAAGGTCTGCACTGTCCTCAGGATGTTCTGTAAAAGCACTGGAGACCTTCACGTAAGGTGAAGCTCTTTGCAGTGGTCACTGCAAATAAAATATGTGTATCATGCACGTAATTTCTCTTTCAGCTCCTTAATGTAGAATGCTAAATATTGCACTATTTCTATAGTATGGAAATTAGTATAATAAGTAGTATTTCCAAGTAGTATAGAAATAATAGCCTTGTGAAAAATGCAGAAGGCAAAGCAAATTCACATCACAAAAATGGGAAACTGGTTTGTGCAACACATGTTGAACAGGTGAAAAAAGAAAATACAGTGAAGAGATAGTGCCAGGTAGTCTGTGCATTCTGAGTAAGTATTCTACTTTAAAGAACATTTAGGTGTGCATGGAGGCAAAAATCTAAACCTCACTAGTTTAGATTAAGAGTTACCGAGAACATGATAAGCCTATATGCAAAAAGGCATTTACACTGGAGTACTTCTAGACAGATTCAGTGTTGTGTTTTTGAAGCATTTTGCAAAACGTAATTCCTGTCATCTTCCTTTTGCTTACCCATACACAATACTGTTTCAAGAGCTGGCACCCATTTCTGACAGCTGTATTTGGAAGATTGAGTCACTGTTCTAGCTTTCTAAATGCTTCATAGTTCAAAAAAGGGAGAGACAATATTCAAAACACATATTTTCAGTAGTTACTTTCATCATGCTTTTTTTTTTCCATAATGAAGGTACATGGGAACTGTTGTATAGACTGAAAGAGAGTTTGTTAAAGTCTATTTCCCAGTGTTCTGCGTTTTTTCTAGCGCTTTAGAACAACTGGCAATAATGGTTAAATGACAGCATAAATACAAGAGTCTTGCGAGACATGGTATAAACAGGAAACAGAATTGTTTAATACCACTGTTTTGAGCAGAAATGAGGTTCGGCTGTGTGGTGTATGTGTTAACTGTATCTATGCTCCACTCTCAGCAACTGACTGATCATGTCAGTGGAAGCACTGCTTTAAAATAGTGTTTTGAAACAGACGCAGAAAATGTGGATTTTGCTAATTTACCTTTCTCTCCCCTGGAAAGGGTATTGTTTTCCTTGGAAAATGTTTTCATTATAATAGAACAAAATTATTTGTTTCTTAACTTTTTTTTTTTCTTTTCATTTTCTTTCATTTCCCTGAGAATTGTTCTAGCGTGGGAATAAAAAAGACAGTGAAACATAACATGTGCCAGTAGTAACAAGAGCAAGTCAAATGAACCTTGGAAGATTTTCCATGAACTGTACTTCCAATTTTTATAGCTTTCCTGGTTTCTAGCAATCCATAGGCTTCAAAATTACCCACAAAAGCTGTAAAGAGAGAACAAGGTAGACAGTCTCCTATCACCAGATCTTGAGGTAGAGCTCTCAGCTAATGGAGCGCGTTGTTCTGCACATTTTTTTTTTAAATTTAAAAGCAGAAAGGCGGATCTTGTAATTCTCAGTGAAAGATAAATGTCTAACATTGCTCATGCTTAGTGAGGGTTATCAAGAAAGTAACTTGTGATTACTTTAGAAGTTGATAATTTCAATGGAGATTTTTTTTTTATATTTTTATTTTAATTAAAATAGTTCACAAACCAGGCTAAATAAATCATCCATTAATCCTTTGTTTTTCTGAAATTATTTGAAACTCCTAAATAACCATTAAGGGCCTTACACAAGCACTGGCCCCAGAAGGTCATCTGTGTATGAAGAAACAGATTTTTACAGAAATCAGGCAGGTAGTGACACCTCCTGAACCGTTGCTTTGCCACACAGACAGTAGATCTATTAAATCTCTCTCAAACTAGAGAAGGAAACCTGAGGCTGAATTCCCAGTCTGCTTTTAGATGAGTGAGAAGGATTCAGTATTCTGCACACACTGCCCCTTCCTAAACTACTACTGAGTAGTGTGTGTATGGGGTTTGTGTGTTAGCTGTATTTTTTTTAAGTGAAGATATAACCCCCCCCCCTCCAACTTTGTAAGTATCCTTTTAAGCTCCGTGTGCAGCTGCCTCAGTGCTGATCTGTGACACTAACTTCCCCTTCTCCCCTCCTCTTTTTTGTATCTGCCTGTTTCCCAGGAACTGGAACTCTTTTGTATTTCTTCGTAAATATGTTTCTTGGCTGGCTCCTAGATTATTTATGTTAAGCTGAAACTAGTATCTGTGTAGAGGATGAAGGCAAGGTTTTGAAATTGGAACCTTGCTGTGGAACTGCACATAATACCAAACACATTGAGTCAGTGTTTAATAACGTCACCTGAAAACATTTGTTCACTTTAAGAATGGTGGGAACTTCCCCTGCTCAGCTGTGACCTGGAAAACACACCCTTTTCATCTGGAATAGCCAAGGAGTTACTGGTGGCTGAAGGAGGAGTAGTACTTTCCTTAGGGAAGGACATCCAAGGATATCTTGGTAACAGAGATGTGACTCACAGAGACTACAGGTTCTAGTATGTAATGAAATGTGTGATTTGACTGAAAGGCTGCTCCATGAAAGGCAATTTGTTGGGTGTTCTCTTTTATGCTAGTTAAAGCCCCAACCCTGCAAACTGCATCCAAACAGTCAGCCCTAAACTATATTGATATCTGGGGGGATTTACTGTTTTGTGGGGATACGTGAAAGGGTTTCGTAGCAAGATCATAGCCCAATGCTATGCATGGGAGCTTTGCAAATCACTGCCACGGCTGTGCTTTTGATTTAGTGTCAGTATACAGGCTACTGGGATTAAATGTGCCAGGATAACAGTATTTTTTGTCAGTGCTCCAGATTAGCATGCAACCAACTCATGTATGTATACTTCTCTGCAAAAGAATAACTTCCATTCTAGGATGTTACAATTTCTATCCGATTTATGTATACCTATATGTATGTGTGTTCGTGTGTTTACTTACTAGTTTTCAAAAGTCTAGTACCATTCAGAGTACTTTGACTTCCTTTTCCACCTAGATCGGCAGATTGGTTATTGGACAGAACGGTATCTTATCCACACCTGCTGTTTCATGTATCATCCGAAAGATCAAAGCAGCTGGTGGAATTATTTTAACAGCTAGCCACAGTCCTGGGGGACCCGGAGGAGAGTTTGGAGTCAAGTTCGAGGTTGCCAATGGAGGTAGGGTTGTTTCTTTAATAACACATTGTAACATTGCATCTTGGTATGATGATGTTGTGGTTTAAACCAGGACAGATGAAAATATGCTGACAAGGATAAATAGCTGACTGCAACTGTGTGTTTTTCGTTTATTCTGGTAAACCTATGAAGAACATAAACATATAAATTTTTATTTGTATTTTTTTCAGTAATAGGAGTGTATTTTTTTACATGGGTCTGTACAATAAGCATTCAATGTTCATTGAAAGTCTTTGTGGTAGCTGTAAGATTTCTATAAACAAGAAGTTTGCCATCCCATTTTTATAGCATTTTGTGTAGCCTGCCAGGTCATTGTAACAGTTCTGATCCTTTTATAAAGATGCCTATGAGGGAGCTCTGTTGTGCTCATATTACTGTGTTGCTCCTCTTGGCATTTACTTTCAAGCTTGTGGTTTCAGAAGTGCTGTAAGCAGTGTAACTCATTGGCTTGTATGGAAGGAAGCATTTTCCATGTTTGCCCAGGAAATAACTGCTCTTACTGAGGGAGAAGGTTGTACCATTTTAACTATTGCAATTACACTGTTGAATAATGGGAGTTCTGTATATAGCTACTGTCTTGTTTTCCAAAATTGGCAAACTACCATATGTAGGTATGTTATACATTATGTTTTATGTTACAGATCTGCGTACACCCATAAAACATCTTGTGTACCTCACACATGTAGAGAGTGCTTTCCATCTGAAAAAAACTGAACGTGCTTCTAAAATAATGTTTCCTTCCCCATTTTGAAGGTGGATGAACTTGAGAAGGGGATGCTCTCTCCAGTTCCTTGTTTAATTGAAAAATGTGCGTGGTTAAACCTGTGTGATTTTATAAACTGAATAGGCTTGAATCCCAGAGAGATTAAAGGGACTGTGTAAGGTCAGACAGTGAGAAAGCCGGGGTCACAGCACTGTCATACCAGAGCCAAACTGTTAGATGCATTAGCACTCTATAAACTTTAAAATACCGTATATACCTAGACTCTGTTTGATTAATGGTTAACAGTTGGTGGGGCATTCTTTTTAATGTGCTTTGCCTTTCTGAAGAAAATTCAAACAGGCTATTAGGCTTTAAATATGAAACACTCCTCAAGCACAGGTTACAAGGGTCAGTTATGTATGATAATCGGCAGGGATGTAATGAGAAGTAGTTGGTTTAAGTTGCAGCTGAGAAAATGTAGGTTCATTATTAGGCAAGGTTTTTGAAAGAATGGTTAGGCACCATGACAAGCCCCTAGGGAAGGCTGTTGTTGCTGTGCTCAGTCTATTTTGCAGATCCAGTCTAGGCAGAAGCGGTTTGTTTCTATAGATACAGGAGATAATGCAGAGCAACACTGTTGGATCTCTTTAGCTGGCAATATTAGTAGACGGTACATCCATCTATCAAGAATGATTTGGAACTAATGAAAGCCACCCCTTGGATGGGTTTGGATTGGATAAGTAAGAAGTCGTTTTCTAAGCCAAATAAAGAGTTAAATGAGGCCATCCGGTTCAATGTATCTGAGATGGAACACCCTAATTGACATGGCAAAGCTGCACTGATTATACTAGCTCTACAGAGGAGTGGGAAGTTGGCACTGGAAAGACAGACAGAGGCTTTGGAATAGGTGAGAGATCATATAAAAGAATAAACAAAGTAATTTTTCAGAGTGGAAGTGCGGCCCAGAAACGCTCCTTGTTGTAACTCAGGCTCAACACTCACACTGCATATGGCATAGCTCATCTGGTAATGTTTGCATCAAGTCTGCAGCTCTTCCTTGATTGACAATAAATCTTTAAAAATAGAGCCAGTCTTCAGGATTTGGCAGTAAAAGTAATGCACAAGTAAGATGTGATTTCTGTTTCTGAATGACATAACTGCTTCAGGTCATAATTGCTTGTTAAGCAATTAAGATATTTTGAATTCTAACGAAGATACATTTCATTAAGCCATTGAAGGAAAACTGCAATAGAACACCACTGTCAAAATGCTAGGACTTTTAAAAGTGACAATTATATCTAATGAAATAATATGAAACCCAAAGCTGTCTCACCTTTACAAGTGTGCATTTGCAGGAAGCCCTATGAAACACCAGAAACTGCAGCTGAAGACAGGCTTTCCTTTAATGTATATGTCGAGACTCCATGTAGAACAAAAAATGTTAGTCTTTGAGCAGTAAACCCAAAGAAGGGTGGCTGTGGGTTTTTAGCTTCCCTCACCACCCTGCTGTGGATAATGATTGAGTTGAATAGTCTTTGTGAATCAAAATGTTGCAAGTAATGCAGTATATTTCCAGGTTACATTTTTTCAACAGATATTTTAAACCTGTGTTAACACTGAAAGAACAGACTTCATTTACCATAGTTCTTTCTTTGGGTTTATTCCTTAATAACTCAGATATATTCAGAAAACTTTTCATTATAGCACTCACTTTTTAAGTAGGGAACCTTCATTTAATAAAAATTACCCACCACATTTTTTTTTCTTACAGGACCTGCTCCAGATATCGTTTCAGAAAAAATCTATCAAATCAGCAAAACTTTGGAGGAATATGCCATTTGTCCTGATCTCAGAGTTGATTTGTCACGCCTAGGAAGACAAGAATTTGATCTGGAGAACAAATTCAAGCCTTTCAGAGGTATCAACACGTGCTTTTATTCATGCTACATCCATTGATTCTAAATATTAGAACTGATGCAGAATGATAATGGGTAATTATTTAAACATACCTTTATTTTTTTATGATGCCTTACTACAAGTTATCAAAATATTAGGCATAGAGGTAAGTGTTGCTTTTGTTTTGCATGTAAGAAAGCTGAGTTACAGCCTTTTAAGTGAAAGAGGCCTTATCGTTTAGCCAAATACCTTTGCCAGATATTTGTGCTTAGGTTTGCTAGTAGTTGAACACCAAACACGAACATTTTTTGATTAGGAGTGGTTTGCTCATGGAAGTCTTAATCGACAAAAGTGTTTGTGAGACTCGCAGTTAGAATCATAGAATCATAGAATAGTTAGGGTTGGAAAGGACCTTAAGATCATCTAGTTCCAACCCCCCTGCCATGGGCAGGGACACCTCACACTAAACCATGTCGCCCAAGGCTCTGTCCAGCCTGGCCTTAAACGTCTCCAGGGTTGGAGCATTCACAACTTCCTTGGGCAACCCATTCCAGTGCCTCACCACCCTCACTGTAAAGAACTTCTTCCTTATATCTAACCTAAACTTCCCCTGTTTAAGTTTAAAGCCATTACCCCTTGTCCTACCACTACAGTTCCTAATGAGGAGTCCCTCTCCAGCATCCTTGTAGGCCCCCTTCATTCTTTTCTAACACTTTCTGAAAAGTTGTGGGATGTGTAAGGCAATACACATCTAGTGACTCCAAATGTAAAGGGAGTGCTTAAACACGTTTCATTGTAAAGGTGTGAATACTTTTATGCCTATACTTGGGTTAAAATGAGCTAAGGCAGCCATTTTGTCCTGAAGGAGTCAAAAGCAAAGGAAGGGGTCCAGACATTTCACATACTGTAAAACTGTGCGGTCTCAAGAACTCTAACTCATTCCTAATGTCCTAAAATTAATGCTAGTTTGTTTTCCACAGAAGCTTTATATTTTGAGATAAAATACATTCTGATAAATAAAGTTTTCATTTAAAAAAATGTTTAATTATGATGAATTTTTTTTATTATTATTGTTATGGCAAAGAACATGTTTGGCTTCTTAGGCAAACAAAAAGCAAAGAAAGTTCAGCTCCAGCACTGCTCTGGAACGATGTGATCGCCACAGTTTAAAATTTTGCTTTTTCAACTTTTTAATCTCTGCAAATTGTATTTTTCTAAATGAAATTGAAGTACCCCTCTTTGCCCTAAAGGTAGTATGAAAATAGGTTTAAAATAATTGCAATTTGTCTGAATGTTTTTCTAAGGAAAAATCATTTCCCAATCATCTCTTCCCAGAGTACATCATCCTGGTACAGCAGAACTGCCAGGGATCCCTAGTGAAGCAGTGTAATTGGCTTATAAGTACATGAATAATCATAGTTTACACAGGCCTGAATGCAGAATAAAAGTGCAGAAAGAATGAAAATAATTCCGATATGTTTAAAACTTCTACTTTTTCAGTTGTATGAACTAACCAAATTTTTCAGTTGTATGAATCAAGACTACAGGGGTATTGAAGCAACTGAGAGTAAACCAGTTGGGTTTGGCAGGAGCTAAAATAAGTTTCAGGCTTTAATCCTACATGTAGTTTATCTTAACATATGTGAGCAGCTTCACTGAAGTTGAGGCATTTTTTCATATATGCAAAACTTAGAGCCTACTTAAACATTGTTGGGAGCAAGGCATAGAAGATATACAGTAGTGTAATTTTAGTGAATCCTTGAGACTTTCAACATACACCATAGAATTAACTAATTTCCAAATAGGTTTTATGGGCTGTTTTTTAGCCTTGAGAACCCTTTTTTTTTGTTTGTTTCTCCAGTCAAGTGTACTGTTGTGATCTATTCTAAGTGTTCTTCTCAGGCTCAATGAATGTCTGTGTCATTTTCATGTTATCCTAAAGAAGAGAATTAGCACAAGGTCAGTGTTTCTGAGCAAACCTGGCTGGTCTTCTAAGTTATAATGTAACTTGTAAATATGATATTTCAAGATATTCATTTAACCAGATAAGAAGATATTTGTATAACATATGGTTTTTAATTTAATCAGGAAAAGTAATACCTTCGAAGGTGACTGAGGAGCATGTTTTTTAACAGTTGTTTGTAACATTATGACAGACTGACTTACTTTCATTTTAATTTGAGGTTTTACATTCGAGAGAACTGAAAAGATTGTAGCTCTCTGCTTTTTGAATTTAAAATTCAAATTATCATGAACTTAGCTAAAACCAGCTGTTGTATCTGAGCCTAGCTTTTTTAAATCAGTGGTATACAAAATGCAGAAGTATAATGGTAGATTGACAACAAACTGAAGACACATATTCCAGCTGCCAGAATTGTGAAGAATAGTCTGTATGTCTCTCCTGATGTATCCTGCAGATGCAGTGCTGTCAGGTAGAAGAATAGAACATGTGGCTTCAACATCATAGACATCTTCCATCCTTTGAGAATACACTTTTTTAGCTTGAAAAGATGTTCAGTGATTTAGTGAGTGACAAATAGAGTTTACTTTGATATATTGTATTCTCATGAATGTTTTCAGTGAAATAGGAAGTGTCAACTTAAATTATCTCTGCAGTCCTTTAGCACGCAAAACTGTTGATTTTTGCAAGGCTTAAAGTTTGATGGTGGTCACACTGAAACCAGTAAGTCTTTGACTTTGCTTCTATGGGCTCCATGTTACGTGGAGGTTGCATGCTTTGATTTTAATGGAGTTGTGTGGCTGGTGGAAGTGTGCTTCAGCAGGTATTTTCCCATGTGCAAACTGTAGTGATTTTTTCCTACATAATTTTTGTAGTGGAAATTGTGGATTCTGTGGATATCTACCTCAATCTCCTTCGAAATATCTTTGACTTCAATGCTATCAGAAATTTGCTGACTGGACCCAACCAGATCAAAATAAGGATTGATGCCATGAATGGAGGTATGAACTTAAGCTGTTATCAGGACGAAATTGTAGGTACACTGCAATAGCTTCCCGATAAAGACCGTACACTACAATAGTTGCCCAATAAAAGTACAGCTTATAAAAGTCAGAGTTTTTAGTAAGGTTAAGGGTAATAAGAAAGGATTTGAACATTATGCTAGTAACAAGAGCAAACTTAACAACTGGCTAGGTCCCTTATTAGGCAAAGATGTTTATCTTTCTTGGTGAAGAAGTGAAGGCCTATGGGTAACAGTGAATAACCACTGGAGCAATCTACCAAGGACAACTGGGGCTTGTCGTTCATTGTGGCATAACATCTAAAGGCTTTCTGGATGAGATGTAGTGAACACTAGAGAGGACAACGTGTATGTGGACAAACTGTCTTCCAAAGTTGGTTTTAGCTCTGCGCCTTTGAAATACGCTTTTATGCCTGTAAGTGTTCATAGTTTAACACTGACATAGAAAAGAGTAGTTTGTCAGGAGTGTACTTTTGGTATGAACCTGAATTACTTTTTACTGTAATTTTACAGAACTAGCACCTACATTTTCTTGAGCGCATTTCTTATATAGTTTTACCTCACATTACAGTTTCTCCAGGTAGCAAGATTTGGCAGTAAGGTAGGAGAAAGAGAGAGCACCATGGTGTGATTCTTTTTTCCTCTGAGTGACCTGTTCACACCTGCCTCGGAGATGCAGAGAGCTCAGTCAGTTGTTAACAGTCCCTTCAGCTGACAAATGCAAATAATGGTCATTCTATATAACAGCATGAGCTGGGGTCTTGGTTGGCTGTATCTTTAATAAAATAAAGAAGTTATTTTGAAGTTAGTCTTGAGGAAGTTTTTATTTATTATCTACATGGTAGTAACTAAAATGTGGTAAAATTCTTCGGTGGACAAACCTATTGTAATTTTAACATGAATTGGAATATTGAGGTAAGAGTATTTCCCGTTTTTATTCCCTTACTGTTTACTTTCCTTGCTATTATGTGTTAAACTGTTGTTTGCATTCCAGGGCACATAGAATAACATCTTATTTTTCTTCTAGTGAGAAAGACTGTCTATGTGTATGGTAACTTTTTTACTTAATAATGGGTAAATAAAACTTGCATCTTTCACCATACAGTGATTACTTTTGTACTTCCACTAGTGGGAAACTGTTTTTTTAGTGCTGAATTGCTAATTGATGTTTACTGGGAGGCAATCACACACTCCTCTTTGAAATGGTAGTTTGGGTTTTGTTGCTAGGACAGATGTATAGAATTGCTCAAAGTATGTTCTGTATCAAGTCTCCATGGTGCTGTGAAAAATTTGAGTGTCAAGCATACGCTTTTGCGACTGCATGGCAGGTTTCTGGTTTTGCAGTTATGGGACCTTATGTGAGAAGAATCCTGTGTGATGAATTGGGAGCCCCTGCAAATTCTGCCATAAACTGTATTCCTCTGGAGGATTTTGGTGGACAACCTCCTGATCCCAATTTAACATATGCAACTGCCTTGCTGGAGGCTATGAGAGGTGGCGAGTATGGATTTGGAGCTGCTTTTGATGCTGACGGAGTAAGTATTTTGATCTGTCTGGAGGTTTCACTGTAGTTGGTTTGTCTGGGGTCAGATGTGGGACATGTAAGTATAATTTATTTGCTTTTCAGTAAGCCGTCGAAGCTGAAAGTGGTGTTACTGTCAGGTACAGATGATATAGCATTTGCAGCCCGTAAATCAGACACATATGTTGTAATTTGTCTCTGCAGATGACTGCAAATCAAGCAGGATTTGAATCAAGAATGAGAATGCTTTAAATATTAGGCTGGTTTTATCTTGTAGTGTTGTAACACTTTTATTCCCTGATTAGGAAGAGACAGCATATATATGTAATACGGACTTGACACAGTAAGTAGTAACTAAGTTAAGTCCTTTTTGGTTAACAGTATAAATTGAGGGATTTTTTTAGCTAAATAAAGCAGTGAATCATAATCGCTGTTTGTTTTAGAGTTCTTTTTTATGTCTTATTATTAGCATTATAAATAGCAGAGTGCTACAGAAATAACTTTCTGTCCAGACAGGGTGGGAGAAAGATGAAAAGGTTCTGAAGAACAGAAGCTGTTTTCTGTTATCGGTAAACACAAAACACCCTCCTATTCCCCATATAGTGCATGCCATTGGCAAAAATATTCTCGTACAGAAGCATTCCCTGGCAGGAATAGACCTACTGAAGTGTCATGTAGGAGACTGAAGCTAGGGTCTGATCTGGAGCTTTGATTTGCAAGGCTGGAGGGAGTGATGGTGTGACAGTAAGATTATAAACCTGCTGGGGTAATGCCAGTAAATTATCCTGCTTGAAGAGGCATGCAAGACTGTTCTTTTTCCCCCTGCCTACAGTAGGTCTAATAAAAGAAATTACCACACCCCAAAACATGGTATTTAAGATGCTTATTTGATTTTGTTTTCTTCTCCAGGACCGCTACATGATCCTTGGCCAAAACGGTTTCTTTGTTAATGCGTCAGATTCATTGGCTATAATTGCTGCCCATCTGTCTTGCATTCCATACTTTTGTCATATGGGTGTCCGAGGATTTGGCAGGAGCATGCCTACCAGCACAGCCCTGGACAAGTAAGATGAAACATTTGTTTGTATCACCTTGGTCATTACATTAGATACCTCTCTGTTTTGTACGATGTAGCAATTCCAAAATTGTGAAGTCTTTTCATAAGAGCTTCTAATTTTCACAGTCCTTATGTGCTTTTTTGTTTTAACGAGTTCTGACCGTATTTTGATCTTACCTAAATTAATTTTACCAACCTTTACTTAGATGAAAATAGGTTAATACAGCCTGGAAAAGAAATAAATAGGATAAATCTTTCTTAGCCTTCAAATACTTGACTTGAAATTCCTTTTCTAAATAACTTTACTCTTTTTTGTAGTAAATAATTATTTACAGCCTGATGGAGCAGCCCTTTTTGAAATTCATGGAAGTTTAAAACAGATAAAGTACTAATTCAGAACTAAACAAGCCTTAAAAAAAACAGACAAACTAACAACAAAACAAAAACTACCAGCCCTCCCCCTTACTTTAAACCATTGAAATATATCATCTATTATGATAGAAAATGTCCCACAGGAGACTGCAGGCAGTCATGAAATCCATTCCCAGTTTCAGGGCAGGTTAAAAGTATGCCTAAAGCTATTTCTGACAAGTCCAGTCTGCTCTTAAGAGACTTGCTGATATACATCCTGGGTTAGCAGATGAATTTTGAACAAGTCTCATCCAGGCCTACATTTTCTGTAAAGATTGGCATAAGAGGATTAAGCTAAGTATTATTGTTTTACATATTTTGTGTGGAAGAACATTCACTGCGTAAGTTGTATCTCAATGTTGATCTGGTTGCATAGCTTTACTAATATAAGAATGACCTCTTGCCCTGTTAATTGTGTTTAATCAGGAAACAGTAATTTCAAAGCGAAATGTAGCTTGTATGGAATGGATGGTTGCTCTTGGAAAAACAAGGGTACTAAGGTGCTTCCCTAATCAGGACATTTCTAAAGTTACTAAATTCAGAGGTAGCAGCTTCCTTTAACACTTGACAAAGTCTTCAGAGAACTATTACTTAGTTGTAGGTAGATGGTCTAGTTTAACATTAGGTCAGGGTTTGCAGTAATTTGTTTATTCTGTTTAGAGATCTGAAAATCTCATTGTTTAAGTGGAAGCTACCGTTATTTTGAAATACTGTGTAAAATAGTAGAGGCTCATTTTTGGATATAAACCCTAGGATGTCTGCATTCCTGGAAGACTTGAAGAAACTGTGACATTAAATACGTTTTTCTGTCTTTTTTCCTTAAAGTTCAGTAAATATGTCAGAATGTATGAATGTTCTGAAGTCTCCTTCAATAACACTGTGGCTATTTGAATTATGTTCTTGACAATGTTTGCTTGACCTTCTGAGCACAGATTGTCTCATGGTGATGACTGCCTTATTTAGTTCTGTGTAGCTAAGTCTGATTATTAAATAAAACTGAGCAATTGATAATGATGGAAGGATATAAATATTTTCCCAACCATTCTTACAAACGTTTATTATTATGATGTTTGCAGACTGTATCCAGGACACTTGAATTTTTTTTTTCTTCCATTTTGCAGTTGTCTTTTTTTTAGATTTTAAAGCTACATGTTTTCAGAGTTGGTCACTTTTGTTTTGTGACTCATTTACACACATGACAGTACAAAATTCTAATTTTCTGTAAAAATACCATGATGTTGTCCAGACATTCTCATGCTTTGGTGGCCAAAATTACATAATCTGCTTAATTTAGAAGTGCCAGTGTCGAACTCACTCACTGAAGAGCCCAGCTTAGTTCTGAAATCACAGTTAGTAGTTCTTAAGGTCACTTTTAATCATTGAATCATACAATACTTTGGCTGGGAAGGGACCTTAAAGATCATCTACTTCCAACCCCCTGCCATGGGCAGGGACATCCTCCACTAGACCAGGTTGCACAAAAGCCCCAGCCTGGCCTTAAACACTGCCAGTGATGGGGCATCCACAGCTTCTCTGGGCAACCTCTGCCAGTGTCTTACTACCCTCCCAGTGAAGAATTTTTTCCTTGTATCTAATCTAAATCTACCCTTGTTCCATCTAAAGCCATTCCCCTTGTCCTGTGACTACCTACCCTTGTAAAAAGCTCCTCTCTGGATTTACTGTAAGCCCCCTTTAGGCACTGTAAGGTGTCCCCTGAACCTTCTCTTCTCCAGGCTAAACAAGCCCAACTCTCTCAGCCTGTCTCCATAGCAGAGGTGCTTCAGCCTCCTGATCATCTCCATAACCCTCCTGTGGACTCACTCAAGCAGGTCCACGTCCCTCTTGTGTTGGAGGCCCCAGAGCTGGATGCAGTGCTGCAGATGGGGTCTCATGAGGGCAGAGTGGAGGGGCAGGATCACCTCCTTTGACCTGCTGGTCACCCTCCTTTGGATGCAGCCCAGGATACGGTTGGTTTCTGGGCTGCAAGCGCACACTAGAGCCAGCTCATGTTCAGTTTCTCATTGACCAACACCCCCAAGTCCTTCTCCGCAGGGCTGCTCTGAATCTGTTCTTCACCCAACCTGTAGCTGTGCCTGGGATTGCCCCAATCCAGGTGTAGGACCTTGCACTTCACTTTTTTGGACTTCATGAGGTTGGCACTGGCCACATCTCAAGCGTGTCCATTCCCTCTGGATGGCATCCCTTCCCTCCAGCGTATCAACCGAGCCACACAGCTTGGTGTTGTCAGCAAACTTGCTGAGGGTGCATCAATCCCACTGTCCATATCACTGACAAAGATGGGAATGATTGTTTAAAAATACTTAGAAAAGTCTTCTTTGTTAGTGAATTTAAAGAAATAAATGAAGGAAAAGGCCAGCTGTTATCTACATCATGTAATAGTATGGACAAGAATAAGAACAACACTTGATTAACAAGGGAGAGAAAGCATTTAATTAAACAGAGTACTTAAAAACCAGTTGTACTTAAACAGAGATTTCTGCTGTGCTGTTGAGTGACAATATTCCTTATTTCTGCATTTTGTTCTAACACTAGAAAATAGAGAAATCATGTTAAAGTAAAAATGATTGAAAATGGCATGTCAACATTTGTAACAGTAGGTGCAGTAGGATAGCAGAAATGGTGCCTAGCAAAAGAAACTTAGGTTCTATTCGTTGGTCTTCCTGAAGAAGATAGGAAATACTAACTTCAAGCACACCTAACTAGGATTTAGTAATACAGTCACTAGTCCATGAAAAATTAAAGTGTTTGAAAATCTTTTCCCAATGGATGTTACTGGAGTAGGGAAACAGAGATAATGATGGTCTAAAGGATCTTTTTTTTCGTGAGAGAAAGCTGAATTCTGCTGGAAACACTTCATTGTATTTGATAGTGTCATCACAGTGTCTCTGGCATAACACTTCTTCAGTCATCAGAGCCCTGCTATTGTCTGAAAGGTGTAATTCGATTTGTGTCTACAAAATGGATCTTCTTATTGTAGTGTACCCAGCTGTCTCTTTTCGCCTGCTTCTGGACCTTGGTAATATGAGTAGCTCTCATGTGAGGGAATTGGATCAATTCGTGTCCACTTGGCTACTGTCTCTGGAGGTCATGGGTCTCTCTCCTGAAGTCTGTGCTAGAGAGCATTTGAAAATCGCCTCTTATGGTCTGTCTATATTGTGTGTCCACAGTTTAGCCTGAATCATTGAACTAGAGCTTTTCCTTAGCTATATAAATAAACTCATACATAGTGCTTGAAAGAAAGGATTTTAAAAATCTGATGTTTTTTCCTTTGTGTGCATGGTGGTGTGTTGTTTTGTAGCTCTTCAAGGAGCATTTTTACACTTAAACAGAGGGAAACAATAATCCACAGGACTCTAAATGTTGCTTAGGAATACAGCACTAACAAATGGAGCAGTGGATTACAAGAGAATTCACCCAAGATCTTTAACATTTACATGTGTTTGCTTGAAGTGGCTGGTGGAATATACTAGTATGTACTGTAGGGAGAGGTAACACTTGACAGGAAACATCTGCTTCAGTACGCTCCAACGTCAACAGGACTGTGCCAGTATGTCTCCAGACTTCAATTCTTTAGTGATATGTACCCTTAGGTTGGTGTTCTTTTTCTTTTGGGGAATGCAAAGCTATGTACCCTGTTCAACAAACTATTCTTTTTTAGTATCATTGTATTCTGATTTATCTGATGTCTGCATAACAGGAAAGGAAATGAAATACTGAGATGTTAGCTAGTGAGAATCACAAGGGTGAACAGAATTTATTTCTGTAGGAGTTATGAAGCTGAGTGGTTGTGGAAAATAGTGGTCGACTCAGTATGTGAAGAGAGTTGTTGAGAGAATACTACGGTGTCTAGCATTATCTGGTACCTTGTTTCTATGGCCAGGTCATTTCAACAGCATGTGGGTGCTTTGATTATACTCATCTTGAGAAAAATCTAAGCACCTTACCTTGCAGAACCCTGCCAATTTACATCTGGTAGCCTATCTTTTAATGCAACTTCAACACGTCAGTGTACTGTCTCTGATTGTCCATTTACTATATGGTCAGCTAGACTCAGGTTTTAAGGAAGCCTGCGGGGACACAGTGTTCTGACTTGTGTTCATGCAGAAGGGCAGAGATGTGATGAGCTCTAAACAAGCTGCCTTGGGTGCAAGGAAGGAGGCTGACCCTGGCAGCAGGAAACTTAAAATCATAGTACTAGTTCAGAGTAGTGTCCATTTTGTCTGAAGCAGAGCAAGAAACTTTGCTTAAATTATGGAACCATAGAATCATTTAGGTTGGAAAAGACCCCTGAGGTCATTGAGTCCAGCTACTTCTCCTAGGCTTCCTGTTCTTCTTCCACCTGTTCCTTCTGCTACTTCTTTTCCCCCTTTTTCTCCTCTACTCTTTTTCTTCCAGCTTTTATTTCTTCTATTCTTTTGCTAGATACTTCCTCCTGATTTTGTTCATCTTCGTTCTTTTTATTTATTACCTTCCTGTCTTCTTCCCTCTCTTCCTCTTTTCTAATCTCTTACTGATCCGGTTCCTGCTGCTTTTCTTCAAAGTCTTCTTCCTCTTCCTCTTTCCTCCAGTTGCCTT